GCTAGAGTAAACCAGGCAGGGCTCTAGAGGTAGGGCTAGAGTAAACCAGGCAGAGCTCTAGATGTAGGGCTGGAATAAATCAACTAGGTTTTTAGAGGAAGACCTAAAATATGTAAACTTTAGGTGTAGATGTAGGCCTGGAATATATTATCATTGAGTCTGCAGTGGTAGGGTTAAAATAAGTTAGCCTTCCTTTGCAAGCAGGGCTGGAATAAATAAAACAGAGCTCTAGAGGTAGGGTTGGAATATCCCACCCAAGGCTCTGGATGTAGGGTTGGAATTGGTCAGCCAGGGCTTTCCAGGAAAAAGCTGCATTACTGCAACTTTCTGAGACCCTAGCCAGCAGGTAACATTACTGAGTGCAATGTTACTCCCCCAGTAAGTATAAAACTTTCCTGGTAGGTGCCATGAAGCTCACACCTTGTCAGATGATGAAGGAACTGGCTCTGCAACAAGGAGGATCATGTCCACATGCTTCCTTCTCTCCCATGTACAATAATTGTTTCCGGGGATCTGAGTTTTAGAACATTTAGCAATTCGAATTGGGTGGGCATTTAGCAAACGGAATGCTGTGAATTTTCCAAACTAAAAGAAAGACCCCTTGGTCACTCAAATGAAAAAAAAAGAAAATGGGCCAATCCAATTCCAAAGCCGGAACGAACCCAACCATGGAAGGGTGAAGCCCCCGCCACAAAAAATTAAAAACAAAAAATGGCCAAAACACATCTCTAGCGCCACAAAGTCTGGGTTTCTTTCTACCCCAAGCCCCTGATAACTTATTTGTTTCCAAATAATGGATTTCATTGTTCAAAATAACCCTTCAGCTGCAGGTAATTCAGCAGCTGATGATTTATGGAGACCCCACAATACCTGTGGTCTCTGTGGCTCTCCAGGAACAGGGCTGGCCACTGCTGGGCTAGCAGTAACATGCGGTTATGTACAGGCCTTCTTTTGAGCTCTTCGGCTCTGGCAAGCTGTTCTCAAATCCGGCTTAGGGTAGCTTAACCCCTTGCGGGCAT